TGAAGTAATTTGAATATTTTATACTTAGTTAATGCCGTTATTACTTGCTTATTTTAATGATATGAAAATGAAATGAATGAAAAATATGAAATGAATGAAAGTTATCATATAATACAGGTGTATAACCTCACTTCTAATGTATATACATATGATACAATAGAAGAAAAGTCCGTTCAGCAGAAATCATAAGCTGCTGGCAGCGCAGCACAGAGCGCTCACTAAGCTGCTTTCTTCGCTGAACGCAGCCACTAGTTATGAGGAGCCAATAGCAAAATTTTGTCTTTTAATGATTATTCATTATTGCAACGTATGCAAATAAAACGCACGCATATAACAAAAGGTATCGCATCATAATTGTTTATAACAAGAGACTTCAATTAACGATTCACTTATCGTTATTATTAGAACATAAATTTTATTTTTCATAATCGTACAGCAGAAATTCAATCGATTGTAGCTTATCGACGAATTTAATAATAGCACACGCAAAAATTAATATAGTATCACCATATTAGCCTAGTCAAGAAAAAAAGGAAAAAAAAGAATGTCATGCGAATTCCAGATTCACGCAAAGCGCGGCGAAGTGCGACATACGTTATTTCGTACTTTCACAAATAACGTGATTGTTCGCGTGCTTTTAACATGATAAAAGATGACGATGAGGTACGAACTATCGTGCCGATCTTACGTTGAGTAAGAATCTACGACTAAATGCATTCTCGATAGTAAAAACAAAAGAATATATATATTTTTTATTCCGGTCGCCTTAGGTGGGAGGTAAATCTTGTGAGATGAGATCCTTGGACGATGCCGGTTGTGAGAATAGGAACGTCTGTAATCTGAAACAAAAATTGGATCAGTGAGAATGAGGAGACGAGCGTCGTTTGGATGCATTTTCAAAGAATATTGCCATGGAATATCGCGAAATGGGAATATATATACTGCGCGTTACGCAACCGAGAGAAAGATAAATAAACACGCCCGTGTGGCGTCGTGTGAGTCACCGCGCACGAAGATAGTCGGCACCGATAGCGAAGTAAGACGCAATACGCGCTGTATTTCGCATATATTTCGTGATAACTCGCAATAGAAATGTTTGAGATGATCTGATTCGATTAGTAAAGCTATTTGATCGGAAGCCGTGCGCGATCGAATGTGGTAAAAAATAGAAAGTGAGCGAGACTTTTTTTTTATTTTTTCATTATTATCCATCTTCCCGAACGTACAATGAAATATAAAAACTTATAAGATACGGAAGAACGACTAAGAATCATATCTATAAAGTTTACAGATTTTATGTAATTTATCAAAATTAATCAGAAAACAATTATAAATTATTTCTAATTTTTGTATCGTTCTGAAGGCTACCAAACACGAATACGATCGAAATACTGCGCGTTTGGAATATCCAACTTCATTGACAAATTGACGAAGGCATTCAGCTGACTTCATAATATTAGGCAGTCTTTGCGGAGCGACGTACGGACGTGAACGAATGTGCTCGAATCTTGCTGTGAGATGAAGGATAAAGGTAAATGACGTCATTTTCACGAGAGAACAAAAGCGATTGATTAAATATTACATCGGATCGTGTTGACGATCGAACACGAGCATTCGAATAAAATCGACTCGGCGATCTAACCTTTTACGCCTTGCTCTTGCTCGTCTGCCGTTTGTTGTGCTCGGTGTTCATCAGCTTGGTGAGAATCTTTCTAGAATGGCCGCTCGGGTCGAAGTGATTCGTGTGAGCGACAGCCTCGCGTTTGCTCCTCTGTTTACCGCCGTGCGAGGTGAAGATGTGCTTGTCGTAGTCGTAATTGAAGTGCTCGTACTCGTCGACGTATGCCTCGGACATAGTTCACGAGATTCGATATATTCGGGGACGCTTGCGGAAAGAAAGTCGCGGGCGCGACGCAGATGCGCAAAATATCTCTCGACTGGTATGGCTCGACCGGGAAGATCGATTCGCTACTGATCGCGCGGCGTCCGCCGACCCGGGTTTATATACGGCGACCCGGTTCCCGCGAGCCGCTCATGCGTGCTTGGGTGCTTGTGCTGTGCTTCGTCCGATGCCGGCGCAACAAGGCCCGGTTTCGTTGCCGGCGATGCGATGCTCTCTCAACCAGCGATAATTCAACACAAATTTACTATATCATGTTTTCCTTTGTTAATTCCGCACAGGAAAAAAGAACAAAAGGAAATGTCTCCTTTTATGCCTGTTTACACAACTGCGTAGTATCTATACGTCAAGACGGTAACCTTTGCGGCGTAGATCCCATGGCACCGATAACGTATCGAGAAGCTCCATTTCGATCTGGCTTTTTCGTAAAATTATGTAACTCCCACGAGCTTAGATTATTTGTATCAATTGCAAAAACAAACAAACTAAGAGATAAACAAAATTCGTGATGTAACGTTACGACAAATATTAGTACAAACACTCGCAAAAACATTACAGTATAATAGTTTATGTTGCATTTCGGATATTTCTCCAAGCGTAGTGTTGAGTGTTTTCAAGGACGAAAATAATTGGGCAGATAGAACCACCTGGCAACATTGTAAAGGTATGCGCCGTATTGTGCAGAGCTGATCCTGTGTTGTTGAAGCCTATATGGATCTACTAAGCAATAAGTACTTATTTATATAATTTTTCAGATACTTTAGAGCATTTCGACCAAGCTTTAACTTAATCGTTGATTAGCTTATCAAGTAATACCCTATTAACCATTTTATGAATTTGAAAAAAATTAATGTTTTATTTTTCAATATACGAAAAGAAGATAAAAGACAATAAACTATATATTTACTAATATTGTGTATATTCATATAATTTTGAGCAACTTTGTTCAGAATATTTATATTGTAGAATATTATCCTAGACAATGAAGCGTGTCTCATTGTCAGGAAAATAATGTAAATCTATGATTGCTTATGATGCTGGCAATTCGCCATATATTTATCTTCAACGATTTTGAATATACTGACATTGTAGCAATACACAAGCAACAATATATTGTTAGCAGTTCAATGGCATGATAGCAGCATCAAATTTCGCGTTGTCGGCAATATGATAACATGTGATCCTACAGATTATTAATAGACGGCAACAGCATGAATTTTGATGAAGAAGATTTTAAAGTTGTCAGCAAATATCTGGCAAATTACTGTCTAAAGTTGTCACATCGTAAAGGCATTAACTTGCTAACAAATATGAATTTATTTGCTGTAATTTTGATAGCAACACATATTTATTTGCGAGCAACATGCTAAAGATAAGGCAAACATTTTGCTATCTGGAAAACGTAGGATTATTAATATATTGTATAATTAGAAATACATATTTTTAAAATATAATTTCGCTGTATGCGATCATAAAATAATCAATTAAGACACTCGGAATTTTGTTGAAGTTACCCTCAATCAATTATTTCACATTCCATTATATTGACGTATCAATATAAAATATAAATAGATAAATATGGATAACTTCTATAGACATTGTTATCTATACTAACAATACAAATTGAAAATATCTGTAGATAAACTATAAATTTATCGCGTAAGAAGTTGTTGAACAACACATTGTTATCGTCAGAAACGTAATCGGGTATTTGAAAACATAGCAGAGTATAATTTAATTATTGCGAAAGATTTCTCGCGATGATGGTTCTTTTCATACACGAGGTCTTCACTCCCATTGCTTTCAATACTTAATACTTACGTGACTAATCTATATGTTCCAGACGACCTAGAAAATTCCAACACGTAAGCTCACCCGACGTCCAAGTGCATTGCCTTCTGCGAGTTCTATAGAGCGTGTATTTCCAGCGCTCTGATGCCATGTAACAGTGCTGCTTTTAGCCAAGTGCAGATTTCTGAAGGTAACTCTTTTATTCAAAGCGATATGTTTCTTATCTTGTCAAGTATTTGAGAAAATATTGAGAAATCGCGCAGTTATGGTATTGCTCTCTACATTAAATTGGTAAAATTTGTAAAAATAAATAGAACAGAAAAGAATGGAATGAAAGTAATAGAAACGTATCAGCTATACTTAAGAATTAATGTTTATATGTCGATAAGAAAAGCGCGTATTAAGTCGCATTCTAATCATTTGCAAACAAGATGGTGGGCACTTGGTCGCCTTGCGGAGGTGTGGCGAGACACTCGTAACGGGGACATAAACAACTCGAGAAATATTTTGTTATTACATTCACCGAGCGGATATGGATATCACCGCGCGGTGCCGCTGAGGAAAGCTGATATCACGCATTAACACACGCGCAATCAATCAAGCTTGTTTCTACGTCGTACGATGTCAATGCACAAGGCGAAGTTATTGAAGCGTAAAAGACGCGTCACTGACGAAATCTCTCGATTAAATTATTCTGTATTTTTGAATCGCACGTCTTGTTTTTGATTATGCGTTCGTGACGAACTTTCTGTATAACTTTGTTTTACATATGAATTTTATTTAGCAATAATCTAAATTTCCCTCCTTGACATTTTATAAGCAGAACAATTGATGATAACACTAAAATGAGATGACTGAAAAATGACTTTTAGGCCAGTATTCATAGTCGATTTTTATTTGATCATCTTAAGCAATGTCTTAAGATGCTAATGCGGCTTTCTGATTGGTTCATGATATCTTAAGACTGTACTTAAGACGATCTTAAATATGTATAATAATCGAATACCGCGGCCACACACACACACAGTAATCATTTTGGAACCACTTTGACATCATACTGACGACTTGTGTTCTGTTTGAGTAACAAGTTAGCAATACATTGAATAATGTCGTGAAGGTAGTAAAATTGATATACAATATTTCTTCGTGATATATTCAACACTTACCATTTACGGGAAAAAATCCGTATTTTGCTCCAGCTGCGAAATACATAGGTAATATTTATTTAAACAGATCACCGATGTTAATTAACAATGCAAACAAATGTTTTATATTCAAATATTTATTTAATTTCTTATTTGATGTTCTCATATTATAACGTTGCGTTGATGTTATAATTTATAATTAAATATCGCGTTTGCATATAATCGTTTGTACTTAAAATATCAGTTTCTTTTTTCTTTCACGGCGCATCTTATTTTCAAGGCTGAACATTGATAGGAAATATCGATGGATTATCTCGACTAGAAGCACGAAATACGTGCTCGTTTTCGTGCACTCCTTTCGCTGACATGAGGCGACATTTAATTATAGCTTATAGAATGTGCTATCTCCGCTAAGTCAGCAGATGACAAAGTTTGGCCATGCAGCTTCTTCTTTCTTTCTCCTTCTCATTTTTGGCATTTATAAAAGTGCGTGAAGGAAATCGTCGATCGAATTCGAACAACGAATTTGGCGACGACCAGACGAAAGGAAATTGGATACGTAGTACCGTTAATCGATTTGATCCTGATGGCTGGCATTAAGTCAGCCCCCCGATCTGCTCTTAACTAATCGAGAGAATCCTCCCGGACGGCTTCGGACGAAACAGGTTTTGTTGAAGTGTAGAAGGGGAATTGCTAATGCAATGCCTTATATTTGCACGACGCTTCCCAAGCGTCGCTTTGGCGTTGTAGGAAACTCTGAAGCAAGAAGATTAGAAAGAGAGACGTGCAGTGACGTATGTTAACAAGAATACGAAAAATAATTTCCCTCTGGCAAAATGCTGTCGTCAAAATAGTGTATCACTTTACATCTATTATTAAAATTCAGTTTTATTCAATAACAAGATTATTTAAAAAATTATTATAGAACATGAGAGAATTCGCAGAGATTGGGATGTGCAGATGACATTTAAAGCTCGATTTCACATTATATGGTCATCTAAAGATTAAAGGTAACCAAGAAATTCATGAATGAATTTCATTGATAAATCTGTTGGTAACCTTTAATCTTTAGGTAACCATATATTGTGAAAACGGGCCTAAGTGGAATATTTGATACGTGATCCAAAGAGATGATCCGATTAGTTTAAAACAGAAAATAAATCGCAGTGATATCGAGGCTTTACGCCTATAAATAGCGCAGCAAGGCTAGAGATTTTCAATAAACATCACGTCCATGGAGCGTCATACAACTGTGCTGAGAATTCGAATCGTACAAACATGTATATCAACTGTGAAAAAAAAATTTCTTGATTTTCGTGTCTTACATTGCCTTTGTATACATAAATGTTATGAAAATTCGTGGGAAGATAAATTCGCGATAATATAGATGTTGGAAAGAGGAAGAGCGATGTAAGAACAAGATGCGACCAGTGAGCGAGAAAGTGTAAAAGTTTTGTATTGAACGGTAATACTGACATATCGATCTTTCAAACACGAACACCTCGTCCATAACAATAACAAGATTGATCGCATACATCCGTGTTATAATCATGAGATGTTGTTCGGCATTGTTTGAACAAAATCTATTATCTTTCGCAGAAGGCTTGTGCTACAAAATGATAGCTGGATCATCGGAAGGTGACTCACGCACGCGAATCAATTGATTCCGTACACATCGCCACCTTTGCGATAATCAGCGTTCGCAAAAATGGTGGAATTTTCATACAGTACGACACAAGCTACGCTGCCGCGAAGTTTGTAGCGTTGCGTGACGTGTCCCAAACGTTTCAGACCGTCGATCACTTGTTTAGGGACCCCATACTCGTAAGATATCTTGGGCGGAAATAGCTGGTGATGTATTCTCGCTGAGTCCACTGCCTCCTTGACCGTCTGCCCCATCCAAAGTATCTTTGCTGTCACCTAAAAGCAACAGGCTTTATTCGTGAAAATCCTGTATTGATTTGTTGGTCCTGGTGTCGCATAAATTCAAATTGAGTTGTTACATAGAAATCCGAATTAAGCTGTTAAATATTTAAAGTGTTACTGACTTGCGATACTGCCGTCGTAATTTTCGTACCACCAGCAGCACCCATGACCATCTTGACGTCACCGTTCCGATCGACTAGAACGGATGGCACCATTGAGGACAACGGCTGCTTTTTGGGCGCGATATAATTGTTGGGGCTTGGCGGCACACCAAAGTAATTGAACTGCGACGGAATGCTGAAGTCGTCCATGCCGTTATTTAACAAAATGCCGGTTCTTTTGCTGACTATTCCGCTTCCGAAACTACAAAATCGTTAAAAAAAAGGCATATAAAGGATATTTTCACGCTCTGTAAACAATGCAATTTTATGGACGGTATTTATAGTCCATTTTTATTTTAAGACTGTCTTAAGTAATGTCTTAAAATGCTAATACAGCCTTCTGGTTGACTTATAACATATTAAGACAGTTTCAAGTATAAGAATCGACTATAAATATCGGCCTAGATGGAGACTTACTAAAAGTTGATGGTGCTGGTAACCGATACCGCATCACCATTTTGTGTCAGCACGGACACGTGCGCGGTACCATGGTCTTCGACATTAGCATAGGCAGGAAAGCCATAATGTTGTGGATCCTGCCACGTTCTTGTATCATCTATTTTCTCTCGTATCGAGCGCGCGAAACTCTTCGATGTTAGGTTTCTGATTATCTTTAAAAGAATTAAAATAGTGATATTATTAATTGATAACAAACTCAATAAGATTCAAAAGAAAAAGGGATCGTTCGATATGTTTACCTCGGTCATATCGATGAAAGTTCCGTCACCTAGCTTCGTTCTTAACGCGAACGCGTACTTGAAAGTCTCTATCATTCTATGATATGTGAGGATTGTTGCGTTAAAGTCAGTTATACTGGCTGGCGTGAAGCCGTAATCATCGAAGACGTTGAGAATAAACGAGAGAAGAGCTCCGCTACCAGGCAATCCTGTAGTCAAGAGTTTCAACCCGCCCGAAAAATTTGTTTGTATTGGTTGATTCCATGAAACTCTGGGCAAAAATAAGAAGAACATATACTCAAGAGTTCTCTTTGTAACGCGGCGTATAATTATCTGTACTCAGAGAAAAAACTTTTCTGACTGTAATTACCTATACTCATTAAGATCTTTCATCGTTATAATTCCTCCTTGTTCTTGCAAATCGTCGACGAGAAGTCGTCCAATCGTACCGTTATAAAATTCGGTTGCGTTTTTCTTAGCGACAGTACGTAACGTTTCGCAAAGCATGTGGGGTTTAATCACGGAACCTAGTTTACGAAACTCGTTAGTTGCAGGATCGACAAACAGTTCTCTAAAAGATTAAAGAGGATATTTCGTATATACCGCCATAAATATTTTATCATTCATTATGCATGGTTTGTATCTACATATTTAGTAAGTTTATACCTCAAAGTTGGATCATTGTAAATGCTCTTCTTATTATATAAAAGTCCGTCATACTGTACTAATGTTAGAACATAGCCCTTTTCACAGAGGTCGATGCTCGGTTTGAACAAATCCGCCCACGGCAATTTACCGAATTGTTGATGAGCTTCCCAGTAACCAGCCAATTCACCGGGTACGGCGACTGCCAGTGCACCTGCCAATTAAAATCCGGCAGTATTAAATATTTTTTTCATACGAGAAGACAATTGAGATGGTTGTTTATCGAAAAATTTGTCAAGATTTACCGAATCTAGATGCATTTGCGGGTTTGTCAGTATACATCGTAAAATTTGCTGCCAAAGGTGCGCGGTCCCTTGCATTGAGAACGAAGGTCTGGCGTGTGGATCTTTGATAAATAGTCATCAAAAATCCACCACCGAGACCCAGACTCTGCATGTTCACGAGTCCGTTGCATATTAGCGCTGCTAGCGCAGCATCCACTGCCGATCCGTTCCGTTCTAGAATTGACCTGAAATATAGGAAATTAAGCGTATTTATCGAGTTTATCGATTATTCTTGCGAATTAAACAATTCATATCTTTGGCATACATACTTGCCGATAACAGCGCATGGTGCTCCGTCCGCGCAAACAGCACCGCGTTTGAAAGTTCTTAACTTACTCCACGTCGGTGGCTGGAAGCTTTCTGGATCGGGCGGCACCAAAAACTCATCATCTTGTGAATCAGACGTGCTGTTACGTGCGTACGCACTTAGGCCGATGATTATGGCGATTATCAGTGCAGCTACGATGGCACCAATTATGATCACATGATGTACGCGAAAGCGTGATCTGAAAAGGAGCAATAATACTGTTACGCTCGCGGTGCGTTATCCGTTTCGCACAACCGAATCGCCAACCCGAGAGAACGTACGCGCTCGATCGTGAAAATGATAACACGCAAATTATAAAAAGGCACTAGACTCTTTATTACGCTCGCACAAAGGTAACGACACGTAAGTAACAGCGAATAATCTTTTCCAAAGAAATCAGCTCGAACAGTGTTACCAGATCTGAGCCGCGCAACGCCACGCACACAAAAGTGCGTAAATAATTATACGTAAATAATTATATATATGTAATATTTATTACGAAAATCTATTATATTTTTTGTATGTAACATTATGAATATAATATGATCACTTAATATTTTCTATAAGTTCATATTCGTTTCATATTTATAGAAGATTTACAATACGCTACTTGTATTAAGAAAAAATTATTCATATCGTATTAAATATTTGTTCATTTATGTTAATACTACAAATATTATATACAAAAAATATAGATTTTCGTAATAAATATTACATATACATATATAATTATTTATTCTATATGTATATAACATTATCAGTGTGTGATAAAATGAAACGGAGACGCTCTTGGGCGAGCGAGAATCGTACAGCGAGAGAGAGTTGCTCCTACTGCGCCCGAAGATAGCCGAAACGCCGAACGCACACGTACGTCGCTCGGCTTTTGTGTGCGTGGTGTTGCTCGAACCGAGCTCAGACCGAGCATTGACAGTTCAAAACTCGATCCAACTCAAAACGGCCCGCGTCGGCAACCGTCTGTCCATCCTTCTCGCTCGTGACACGATTCAGCGCGCAGAGAATCGAAGCAGCACGGATATAACACTGCTCCCCCTTTTCTTTAGATTGTCCCGACAATCATCACTTCAACGTCCAACCACATTTTCAGATGGCTTCACGCGCTACTCTGCGCTGTTGCACAGATTACCGAGCCCCCGTCTCGTGATCAGCGCCTATGGAAGGCTTCCGAGCAGGGCTCCTTTTGACTGCTTTACCAGAGCCACAAGAGTTCTCTGGACTTCTCTTGACTTCTCTTTTGAGCTTTGAGACCTTGATACTTCTTTTTTTGGATGGGGGAGGGGGGAATTTAGCTTCTACCGTGGTACCTCTACCTCTAGTCCCCGTCTCGGCATTTGCCCTCCGTCCCGCGGAAAAACCACGGCTCAAAAACCGCGACGAGGCGGACTTCCTTAAAAAAAAAAAAAAAAAAAAAAAAAACTCCGTGATGTGCGAACGAGCTTGAATCTTGTACCAGTACTAAACTCTGTGATAGGAAGAGAATAAACGCAGTAATTGGTTTTTACATAATTACCTTATCTAATTCTTAAATATTTTGAACTTTTTTTTTTTAATGTACGAGCTCCGGGAGACCTAATCTAACTTTCTCCTAATTGTCTCTCCGCATAAGAAGCCAACCTGTCCGCATGTACTACCTTTCTCCTATGCCTAGGCGTCCTGCGGATACCGAACTACGTCACTCAATTTTATGTTAGTTTGCAAAACTTACATAGTTTGTAAAAGGATTTCGTGCCATTTCAACAAGGTTCCTCTTTGTCAAGATTTTATCATAAGTTCATGCATATATCATTTAATGTTCTATTTCTGCTTTGTTCTGTTTCTATTTCTGCTCTGATCGCTCGATAATGTTAATACCGGATTCGCGAAAACAATGAGGCATTTTCAAAAATTATAGGTCTTCTCTTCTGCTAAAGATGATAGACTACATGTTTGGAGGTCTAAAGGCGCAAGACTTCAGCCACAGTATGTCGTGCAAGAGCACCACAGTGGTAGAATTTCGTGCAGCTTTTGGGGAAGCATGAGTGCTGCAGGTATAATGGAACTACACCAGGCATGCATGACAGCACTAGAGTATGTCGACATTTTGGACACTGTCATGCTCTCCAGTGCGCGAGCGAGATTTCCGGTAGACCAACATCAGACTATTACATTCGTGCAGGACAACAGTGCTGTTCACAATGCCCACGTGACACGCAATTGGTTCAACGATCATCCCGAGATTGAAAAGATAGATTGGCCTCGCAAGTCTCCTGACCTAAATCCCATTGAAAATTTATGGGGAATTATAGTCAGGGAATGGAGATCCGGTCAGAACTCGAGAGGCATTAATCCAGCACGTAAACGACGAATGGAACAGACCTCGCGATCGACCTGAAATATGCCAGCACCTATCGCAGTCAATGACCAGGCTACAGCGAGTCATTGACAATAATGGTTACTGGATCGATTATTGATCCGTATTGTATCCGTTACGTAAACTATGTTATATTATTATGCTATATTATTAAAAGTTATATTATTAAATATGTTATGTTATATGTCATATTATTAAATAAATTAAATTAAATTATTATTAAATTATTTATATCTTCTCATCAGACTTTTCATCTATTTCCTTTGACCTTTGTAATAACTGTGACTCTTGTAATAATTTTTTGCGTTTCTTTTTTATGCGTACTTTTCTGTAAAAAAATATTAATATAAATAAATTTTATAATATCACTTAATTATTATATATTAGGATGTATTAAGTAATACATAAGTAATGCATAAATAATACACACTTTGGACTGTCCTTTCGATTTGCAGGCTACTTTTTAGCTTCTATCACTTCTGTACAGGAAGGACTACACGATATTGGACTTTCAAATTCAGCAGCTAATCCATAACATCCACAAGCTTCGCAATGATACACAGTATCTGCATTTATTAATATATAATAATAAAAAATTTAATTTATTTATTACATTACTTATATTAATAAATAATATAATATTACTAGTATTAATAATAATAGTATTAATATTAATATTGTAATAATCTTAGACTCGTAGCCCTTTTTTCCTTTCGTGTTTTTAAATTATTGAGTCTTATTACTAATATATATTAATATTAATATTTTACTAATCTTTATTTTTAATGTGAGTGTCTCAAATACTTTTGGAATTATTTTTCTGTGCATGTCTCCAATAAAACAGTTCTTACAACACAAACACTCCGTCTTTGATTATTCTTTCGATATTTATCATGACCTGTGTAAGAAAAACAGTTCACAAAGAATATTTTCTTATTGGCAAGTAAAATCAATTATACTTATTCAAAACTTATCTGATATATCAACAACTTATCTGATACATCAAAGGTTCGCGATCCGCTTCCTTTCAATTAAACTTGGGAATATTTCGGAGAATATTTTGGGAATATTTTGGGAATATTTCGGAGATTTCACCGATCAATCGAAACTGAGGTTACATCGGCCGGCTGTCAAAACTCAATTCACTAACACTGTGATATATTTATGATCACTGATGCAACATTCAGTCGTATCATATTACAATAGTCATGAACGTAAAAATAACTAAGAACGAAACGTGGACTCTAAAATCGAACCCCAGGCATTTCTGCTACGCACTGTACAACTAATTGTAAAATGTTTTCCTTCGAATTAGGGACTTCCCATTTCTTATACAAAACACGGTCTTTAAGATGAGAGCATGTCAATAGGACCAATAAATTCGACAAGCAATGTCTTGAGCGGCTATTTCTTCCCAGAGCGGGCGCACTTTCGCTTCTTTGTCCCCATAGATGACTGAAATGCTAGGGTCTACCCTCTAATCCCTACGCTAAGTTTCTGGACTTTCCCTTTCGAAAATCATATGGGCGACTTGATTTCCCTCATTTTGAACGTTTTTAGCTTCTACTTTGGCATAATAGTTACAACCTACTCACATTCCCTTCTGGATAACCCGCATTTTTATATTAATTCTTTCCGATGAACTACCTCAAATTGGTACTGCTGCAGTCTTTCCATCCAGCGGGCCAACTGCCCTTCTAGATTTCTAAAAGACAAAAACCACCTAAGCGACGCGTAGTCCGTGCGACAAATTTTCGCCCGTAGAGATAGTGATGAGCGAACTTTATCGAATTGACAACAGCCAGGAGTTCCCGACGGGTTGCGCAATAATTTCTTTCGGCCTTGCTAACCCGACTAAAATAACCTATAACTCTCTCGACCCCATCCTGCCTCTGACAATGAGACAGGACCGCGCCGATTCCAATGCTGGAGGCATCTGTGTCCAAGATGAATTCTCCTTCCTCCCTAGGAAAAGAGAGAATTGGGAGGAATGTCAATGCTCGCTTCAGCCCTTCAAAGGCCCCTTGATACTCCTTCCCCCAAGCAAATTTACATCGGTCCTCAGTAAGTTTGGCCAGAGGTTTAGCCAGAATGGAGAATCCTTTTATGAATTTGCAATAATACGAACTGAACCTTAAGAAACTTCATACTTATTTCTTGCTATGTGGAATAGGCCAGGCCCTTACGGCCTCAATCTTTTCTGGGTCTGTAGCGATTCCTCTAGTTGAAATTATGTATCCCAAATATCTAACCTCCCTTCTCGAAAAGTTACATTTCTTAGGATTAATCTTTAAGTTTGCCGATCAAAATTGCTGAAAAACTTCACTTAGGTTTGAAATCATCTCTTCGAAACTCTTTCCGAAAACGATTACGTCATCGAGGTAAACCAAGCACTTCCCGGAAAGTAACTTTTGTAGAATTTTTTCCATCAATCGTTTAAAGGTCGAAGGGGCGTTACATAGCCCAAATCACCTTGAATTGCCAAAGCCCTCTGCCAATGGAAAAAGCCATCTTCTCTCTATCCTCTGAGCGGATTTTGATTTGCCAGTATCCGCTCTTTAAGTCTTACGTGGAGAACCAGGAATTCCCTGATAATTGCTCGATGATATCGTCTATCCGTGGGAGTGGATAGGAATCCTTTTTCGTGACCGCGTTCAATCTTTTATAATTTACGCAAAATCTTAGGGTCCCATCTTTTTTCTTTACCAGGACCGCTGGGGAAACCCATGGGCTTTGCGATTATTCAATTATCCCTTGCTCCTTCATTTCCTCTATAATTCTATCGACCTCTTTCCGCATTTTATAGGGGACCCGTCGTAACGTCTGCTTTA